GCCGGGCCCGCCCGCCCCGCGCGGTCCAACCAACGCATGCGCCCCCCAAGCTCGCCCCCCACTGCCTCCCTTCTCGGCGGGGCGGGGGCCCGAGCCGAGCCGAGCCAAGCTGAGCCGAGCCGGGCGGCAGAGCCGAACGCGCCGAGCCGAGCCGAGCGCAGCGGCCAATGAATCACTATAAAAGACAGCAAGGACAGTCAACATGTAATTCAGTCTTGTTTCGTCCACCCGCGGAGGTGGTGTCGTGCTCTGCTCTCTCTATCGCTCGCTCTCGCTCGGCGCGTGCTCGCTGCGCGTTCGTGCTCTCGCTCGTAACCAAGTGAAACAACACAGTGTGCATCATGCTGCTGGTCTCTCGCGCCAGCCAGTGGCTGCTCAGGACTTCGTACAGTGCTTACAACAGTGCGGACATGGGCTGGAGCCTGCTCGTCTTCGTCGTGGTGCTGGTGCTGGTGCGTCTCGCCCAGCTCTACCGGGAGCAGCGCCGCCTGCCCCCCGGCCCCTGGGGCGTGCCCGTCCTCGGCTACCTCCCCTTCCTCAAGGGCGACATCCACCTGCACTACAAGGAACTGTCGGAGAAGTACGGACCCATGTTCTCTGCCCGCCTCGGCTCCAACACCATCGTCGTCCTCGGCGACCACAAGATGATCCGTGAGGCCTTCCGCAAGGAGGAGTTCACCGGCCGCCCTCACACCGAGTTCTCATCGATCCTAGGAGGCTACGGTAAGTCCAGTGTGATAATTTAGGACTAGAGTTATTGGAGGACGCGCCGGCCGCGCTGCGCTCGCATCCCCGCTGACCCGGTCAACCGCGGTGTCAGCGCGTTTCGCGAGCGTCTTTCGCGCCAAGTCGAGTTCACTACGCCCGCGGGGCCAGCGCCTCTCCGCGGTGGCGCGCCCCGCGCCCTCTGGCGCCCCGCATCGGCAGCGCAGCTGAGCGCGGCCCGCGGAGCTGGAGCGCGCGCGCATTCGAACGTTCCCGCCAACCCATTCCGCGGAGAGAAAAGCGCCGGTTGGGAAACGCCGCGTCGCACCGCACCGGCGGGCCGAAATCGATTCTGCAAAATGCTGAGGGGACGACCGGGGCGGCCCCGCCGGGCCTCGTCCAAGCTCTTGCTTTGCGCGGCATTTTCTCTCCTGTCCAGCGTTCCTTCTCTGCGCCGCCGGCGGCCGCGACGATTGGGCAATACATTTCGGCACTCGGACCGGTTGAATGTGTTCATTCTGTGCGCCCTCGGCAACCAGCGGCGGCGGCGGCGGCGCGCCGGGCGGGGCTGGCCGGGGCGGCCGGGGCCCCCGCAGCCCCACACTTGTTGCGTGCGCCGGGACCCGGCCGGGCCGTACGGCGGTGCAGCGCGTCGGGTGGCGCGAAACACGTTCCTCCTTCCCCGCGCCGCGCCGCGCCGCTCCCGCGGTCCTCGCGGCGCCGCCTCGCCTCGCGCAGAGAGGTTGTTGACTCCGCTGACGTCCTTCAGACGGAGCGGCCGCCGCGCCGCCGTTCCGTACCGGCGTACGCCGCGCCGCGCCACAGCCACGCCTGCCGCGACCAACCTTTCTCCAGGGCTGTGAACCGTTGGGCAGGCCAGGGTAGGGCCCGCCCGCCGCGCCGCACCCCGCGCCGCCACCCGCGCGGGTTTTGCGTAACGAGCTCGAGTCGTTGAACCGCGGCGGGTTGGCCCCCCCGCACCCCGCTCCACTCGGTGTTACGGCCCCGGCAGTACGCCGCCCTGCCCCACCGCGCGCCCTGGGACGACATCCGTACCCCGACCTACCCCGACCCGCGAGGCGTTTTTGGCACTTGGGCCACACTCATCCGCCCCCCTCTCCTGCCCCTCCCCTCCCGCGGGCGGCGCCGCCGCGCCGTCCAGCCCGTCTGGTGAAGTAACAGGTGGTTTATGTAACCGAGTGGCGGGGCGCGGCGGGGGGCGACGGCCGGCCCGTGCGGATCAAAAACGCTCCGTCCAGCACATTTTTTTCCCCGGGTGGGGGTGGCCCGGCCCCGGCCCGGCCCGGCCCCGCGAGGCCCGCGGTGGCCCAGACAGTGTCGTAATGGCGTCGGAGGCGCGTGCAGAGCGGGCTGACCGTCTGTCGCCGCCGGCAGAAAGGAAAGAGAAGGGCTGAATAGTTAGATAACCCCTTCACTCGCTCCACTTCACCCCTTAACGTTCTTTTCCCTCTTGTGTCCCGCAGGCGTCATCAACAGCGACGGCCGCCTCTGGAAGGACCAGCGCCGCTTCCTGCACGAGCGCCTGCGCCACTTCGGCATGACGTACATCGGCGCCGGCAAGGGCCAGATGGAGGCCCGCATCATGGGCGAGGTCGAGTCCTTCGCCGCCATCCTGGAGGAGCACGGCGAGGGCCCCGTCGACCTCAACCCCATCCTGGCCGTGTCCATCTCCAACGTCATCTGCTCCATGATCATGTCCATGCGCTTCACCCACAACGACGCCCGCTTCCGCCGCTTCATGGACCTGATCGACGAGGGCTTCCGCCTGTTCGGCACCCTGGCGCCAGTCAACTTCATCCCCGCCCTGCGCCACCTGCCCTGGCTCCAGAACACCCGCAACAAGCTCAACCAGGTAGGCACCACCTCCAGTATCGCAGGCCGCGCCGTTCGGCTCGACATTGCGAACTTTAGACTAATCGTTGCCTCCTCCCTTCCAGAACCGCCAAGAGATGGCCGACTTCTTCCAGGAGACGGTTGACAACCACCGCGCCTCCTTCGACCCCAGCAACATCCGCGACCTGGTCGACACCTACCTGCTCGAGATCCAGACCGCCAAGGAGGAGGGCCGCGAGGGTGCGCTGTTCGAGGGCAAGAACCACGACCGCCAAATGCAGCAGATCATCGGCGACCTCTTCTCCGCCGGCATGGAGACCATCAAGACCACCCTCCAGTGGGCCGTCGTCTTCATGCTGCACCACCCCGAGATCATGAAACAGGTCCAGGAAGAGCTTGACTCCGTTGTCGGCCGCGAGCGGCTGCCCAGCCTGGAGGACCTTGCCTACCTTCCATTCACCGAATCCACCATCCTGGAGGTGCTCCGGAGGTCCAGCATCGTGCCCCTGGGCACCACCCACGCCACGACCAAGGACGTCACCCTCAACGGCTACCACATCCCCAAGGACACCCACATCGTGCCGCTGCTCCACGCCGTGCACATGGACCCCAACCTGTGGGATGAGCCCGAGAGCTTCCAGCCCTCCCGGTTCCTCTCCGCCGAGGGAAAGGTCACCAAGCCCGAGTTCTTCGTACCCTTCGGCACCGGTAAGTTGAATCCTGAAAAATTATATCGAAGTAATCAATTCTCAAGAGCGGTGCTCTTAGCGAAGAAAAGTAAACGATTGTGACTAACCTGTGGCCTCTCTCTTTCCTTTAGGACGGCGTATGTGCCTCGGTGACGTGCTGGCCCGCATGGAGCTGTTCCTCTTCTTCTCCACGCTGCTGCACAAGTTCCACATCGAGCTGCCCGAGGGCGAGTCTCTGCCCTCCCTCAAGGGCAACACCGGGATCACCGTCACTCCCGACGCCTTCAAGGTGAGCTTCACAAAGGGTTCTCCCCGCACCCTCCGCCGCGCCAAGCGCATCACCCCTGCCGGCCGGCCGGCCGGGGTCGCTGACCGCGTGCCCCCTCCCCTCGCCGCCCCCTACCTAGCGCAGCGCGTTGACCTCTGCTCCGCCTTTGCGTTCACTAACCATAAAAAAAGGGAACCTTTTTCCTTCTCCGTCTTTCTTTTAAAAAGTAGAGAGTAATAAAAAAATGCGGAACCGTCCCCTTCATATTAAAAAAAAATCACAATATTAATAAAAATGTACTTTCAATGCTAACGGAACTTTTTTTTTCTTTTGTGCAGGTCGTATTGAAAAAGAGGCCGCTGGTTTCGGGCGCCACCCCCGTGGCTCCCTCATCTACCGAGGCCGGCGTCGTGCGAAATGTTGGCAGCCACTAAGGAGCGCCAGCTCCGACACTCTCAGACAGTATTCGTCGCCGAAGCGGTATTATTTCTAAACATTTGGTTCCCTAGAACCGAGTGTCTTAAGTTTGCCCAATATTTGGGCTGTAGCCCCAGTCCAGTTCCGCAACAGGCCTTGTGCTGCGAGGCCTCTCGCACGGAACTTTGTGCTCTCTTCTGTGAAGTGTGCCATACGTACTATAAGAACTTGAACGCACTGTCAACAAGAGTGAGGCTGCAACAATTCCGGTGTTGTTTGCGATTGTCTTCCCAGTTATCTATCCTGCCTTCCAGGCAGTCAGAAGAGTACAATGAATTGTTATAGGCTGTGTAAATGAAATATTTAGCATTAGGTGCCTGTGTTCACTACTTAGTTAGCCAATACTTTGGCAAACCTAGTAATGAAGTTGTTATACTAGTCAGTTGATGTAGTAGAAGCTCATCGTTTTATAAGACTGTCTTATAGTTATCTCTTCTCTGTGTTATTTTAGCTGTTTGATACTCAGATTGTCATAGCTGCCCTGCTGTATGGGCTGTACCATACAGCAGGGCAGCACTACGATGTTCGTGTTCAGTAAGCTTTTAAAACAGCTTTTTAAATTGGAACGACAGGCATGTTACTTTCGTGCCAGGAAGTACAAATGCCCGATGATGTTGATGAAATTATCTCAGTTGATTTGTTGATGAGGTGGATGTAACCGTCCAGTCCAAGTTTTATCATTGTTGAAGAGTATACGTAAGTGTTTTGTACGTAGTATGTAAATATATTTATGTGTTGAGGATGTGTGAGAGTAAATCTGAGTGAGTGCATGTAGATTGAGTGATAGTGTGGAATAGAACTGGGCGAACGTCGAGTCATAATTCTGAACCAATTGTTGTTAGACTATGCTTTAAAATTGTTCACACAAAAATTCCTAATCTACTTTTCAAGTCATTTAAGTTCGCCCAGGTTAACCACGAGTGTATGTTGATTGTGTGAGTTATGTTATGTTCTTTGTGCCAACCACAAATTTTTGATACTGAAAAATATAGAAAACCAACCAATTGAAATTGATCCATTATTTTAAAAATTTACACAAGTAACAACAAAGCTCAGCCCCCCCTAAAAGTCTTAGAAGATCGTTTATCTTTCCCACCACGGCGAAATGTATCGAGCGCGGGCGGCCGCTCCGCAAAGCTACGTTTGGCTCGGTCGGCACGCACACAAACTCCAGCGTATGATGGGTTGCCTACAGCGCCGCTGCGCAAGGGGCGGCCCCCGGCTGGACGGGCCGAGCTGGGGACACGCAGCGTCCATTGAGCGCACCCCTTTCTCGTCACGTCAACCCATTCGGGCCGAGCTACGAGGACAGGGTAACTCGCTTCAGTGAAAGAGTGCCCACAAATGAGCTGAAAACCTTTAAAGAACATTGACGGGGGCGCGTGTCATGTGAAAGTCCTCGCCACAAGCAGCAGGGACGGAGCGTGGCGGGGCGAGGCGGGGGCGTGGCGGGGAGTGGGAGTATAGTAGTAGCTTATGAAGGGATAGCATTGACAGCTTAAAGACATGGACACAACGGGGTCGACCTGTCGCCTTTCCCCACCGCCACGCGCGTCTGTTCAGACGCATAGGGCGGCGAGCGAGAGCGTTATCGCTTTAAAAGATAACGAAACCTTGCACGCACACCGTCGCGGATTTGGATTCATTTCATGAATTTGTGCGAATGGTTTGCCAGAGACAATAAAATTTGCAAGAGGCCACATCTCCTAAACCAAGAAGACTTTTGAACCGTTTCTTTGACCAAAGAAAACTTGACAAGCAAAAAAAATCGTTGGCACTGGACGCGTACTCCGGACCGGCGCCAACGGGGTGGTCGGCTAGTCTAGACAAGAAGTACGCTTTCACCCCGGAGAACAACTAGAAACAAGGGCTGATCCGGGTGGGGCAGGGCAGGGCTGGGCCGCGGGCGCGAGAGGCGTCTGGGAGAGGGCCCCGCGCAACCGGCCCCGGCCGGGCGCCGCCAGCCCGCCAGCCGAGCAAGTGAGAGGGGCGACAAAGGGTCAAGGTGCCGTTCACTTCAATTGAAATGAGGCCGATTTACCGTGCGGTAGCGTTTTCGCGCGACGAGCAACACGCTCGACAGAGAGAGAGAGAGAGAGAGAGAGAGAGAGAGAGAGAGAGAGAGAGAGAGAGAGAGAGAGAGAGAGACAAAATATATGAGAGACAGGAGAGAGAGAGAGAGACGCACACAGAATGCTGCTAACGCGCGAGCAGGCAGGAACACTGTATCGCCCCGGCGCAGGACCACCTGAACCAACCATCAAGGAAATACAAGCCATTTTTGAGATCTCGGATTTATTTCTTTCGCAACTGCCGCTCCACGCACCGCAGCGCCTGGTCCTTGGGGGTGAGAGTGATGCCGCAGACGCCCTCCAGGTCCGCCTCGACGCCGTCCGGGAGCGAGAGCTGCAGGCGCTGCAGCATGCCCGCGCTGAACAAGAAGAGCATCATCCTGGCCCACTCGTCGCCGACGCACATGCGCTTGCCTGTAGAGAGGAACACCCGTTAGAAGACTTGGTCTCCAGCAGCACGAGGTGTTGCAGACGCCGCGCCGCACTTACCCGTCTGGAAGGGGATGAAGCCGTCCGGGCGCAGGAGGGTCTCGTCCTCCGCCAGGAAGCGCTCGGGGCGGAACTCGTCGGGTCGGTCCCAGCGCTGGGGGTCCATGTGAATCGCCCACTGCAGCGGCACCAACATGGTGCCCTTCGGGATCCTGAAGCCATCCAGGGTCGTATCCTGGAAAGCGATAGCCGTGTTGTATTGTATCGTGTCGTGTTGAGGTGGTCACCGGGTGTCCGTCCGGTCCGGACTCACCTCGACGACGCCGTGGGGGATGCCGAGCGGGGTGACGGAGCGGATGCGCTGCGTCTCCATGATGGTGGCCTGCGTGTAGGGCAGGGCGGCCTGGTCGTCCAGGGTGGGCTCGCGGCCGCCCAGGACCGCGTCCAGCTCCCGGTGCACGCGCTCCTGAGCGACGGGGTTGGCGGCCACAAACAGCAGCAGCCAGCGCAGCGTGGTCACGGTGGTGTCGAGGGCGGCGCCGAACAGGTCGGCCAGGAGGTAGTGCAGCTGCCGGTCCGTGTAGAAGGGGCTGTCCGGGCGGCGCGCGGACTCGCGCAGCCACGCCGTCAGCAGATTGTCCGGGGCACCGCAGCCGTCGTCGTCCTGGTCGTCCGCCTCGCCCAGGCCCGATCGCACCTCGGCGACCAGCTCCGCGTACAGGCCGTGCTGCGAGCGCTGGCCCTCCTTGAGCCAGCGGATGGCGCGCCCATTCTGGGGCAGCAGTCTGCAATAGGCGCAAATGTGGT